GTAGCACGAATATGCATTCAGTCACCTCTACGATGCTTGACGAAATCAAATGCGATGTATCGCTAAGGGATTGATCACCGCCCAACACCTTATTCTGCTATTCGAATAACTAATCCGACGGATCGATTATTAAGCGAGCACTGGGACAGCGATAGTCGCTTGTTTCCAGTTGTGGTAAACGTAAGAGTTTTAGTGACTGCGTTTGTAGGTTTTTTGTCTCATATCTCCAATGAATAATATCACCATAGGATATCCCCGTTACTATGTGATGTGGAAAATAAAAAACGAAAATCCTTACGACAATTCGATGTAAATTCTTTTAAGATAACACATGTGGATGTTTACTTACCATGAACAAAGATTATGGTGGTTAGGTTAATGTATCACAGTTAACAGACATAAAAACATGAAGAATAAAGCTCTTGGCGTAGATCAATCCCTGATTGATGCGCTATGCATTCGACTTCATTAAGTGGAGGCTATGGAATGCATGTCTAGCCTTTACAATGAGTTGCGGTGACTTACCGGTGTATCATGCCGGTGTCTTCCAGACAGGTCTGGTGCCAATTTACCGACCCCGCAGGGATGGAGGGCTAGGTGGGCCATGAGCGCGGGGATCGGTTCCGCGTGAGTGTCGCAGTGGAGCCTCCAACCATTGGGCCCCACACGCTCTACGCCACAGCGGGCATTAGCTGTATCATCTGCAGTCCCGTTGATCGTTAAGTGACTTGAGCGGGTGCCACTAGAACCTCCACTTTTCCCTGTCGCGTGCAAGATTAGCCCAGTGGATTCTGCTCACTCTAGGGACTCGTCGAGCATCGTATCTTTCTTCTAGACTTTCCGTGAAGAACCCTGACCATCGAATCGGTGGTCTTCCTGCAGTACGTTTGACATCCCGAGGAATTCAGTCACTAACGGATCTTGCCCATCGATTGTCATTCACACGCACTGTCCAATCCACTTTATCATCGACTGTTTGGCGTACAGAACGGCACCTTGATTTTTGATCGTTGACGCAGGTCGGAGCTTCGGATACCATCTCTTACTTGCATGAAACGGAATACTTCAGGCATCCTCCTTTCGACTGTGCGTTCGATGACGCTGAATGACCTTTCATCCTGCTTACGCAGCGACCAGTTTTTTGACGCATACGTGAAGCCGGGAAGTACTGTTGAGTCGAAAAGGTGGCCGCGGAGTGGCGTGTTCCTTGTTCTCTTCACTACATCCTTGATGCCCTTGAAAGCTCTCCAAGCCGCTCGTTTCTTTCTGCTCAGCTCTGGAGCTAGGTCGTTCATCATATTGATTTCCCAACCTAGATAGATATAACTGGAGCATTCGGAGATATTCATTCCGTTGAGCGTGAATGGGGCATGCGAAAGCAATTCGTTCTTCATGAAAATCGTTTTTGTGGGATTTAGTCGAAGATTAATCTTTCCACAGGCTTTATCAAAGTCGGCAAGCATACGTTCCGCTTCGCTAATGTTAGGTGTTACAAGGACGATGTCATAAGCAAAGCGAAGATAATGTAACTGCCGACCACCGATTTTCATTCCCATATTATTCCATTCCAATGCTCGCATGACGTTCTGGAGAGTGGCGGCAAATAGTTTTGGCGAGATGGTATCGCCTTGCCTACCTCCTCTTTTGGCATTAGTGTTAATGTCGTTATAGAATGGTGAAATTCTGGTTGTGAAATTTTTGTACAGCTCACGAAGAATCTTTATGTACTGAGAAGGGACTCCTTGCCTATCAAGGGCTTCCAAGACTGCTTTTATTCCAGTTGAATCTAAGGCCTTCTGTAAATCGTTGAGAGTGAGACAGAGCGGTCTTTTGTACTCTCGCGATACTTCAATGAGCCTTGTTATCGTGTGGATGTGGTCCATCGTACTAAATCCTTTTCGAAACCCTGTTGCTCATATGGCTGTCCTTTGTCCACTGTTCTGTCAATCCTGTTTAAGATGACTCGAGTCAAAGGTTTGTAGACGACAGACAGTAAACAGATTGGGCCATGGTTGCCGATATCGTGTAGGTCACGTTTCTTGAACAATAACACGGTCTTGCTGATCTTCCACTGAGTCGGGACCATGGATTCAGACAGGTAAAGTGTGAACAACCGAGTTAGTGTGTTTACGAGGACTGGGGGAAGGTTCTTCAGATGTTCTGGTCTTATCCTATCCGGACCTGTTGCTGTTCGATTTTTCATCGACGAATTGGCATACCGGATTTCGGAAGGGAGAACCCGTCGTACAACATATCCATCGTCCTTTATTTCATATGACGGAAGGTGGATGTGGCTATCGAAGAGATCCGAGTAGTATTCGTGAATGATTTTCTCTATTGCCTTTCTGGACGCTGTAACTGGCCCGTCTGGGCGTCGGAGTATAATCGGCTTGGTCTTGTAATTGGCGAAGCTTTGGTGGGCTCTGCGAATGCTTTTCCCAGCTTCTTCAGCTTCGACCATTACTGCTGTTGTTCTCTCCTCAAGATCTTCTTTTATCGCCTGTCTACATTGTTTTGGAAGTTCGGACGTTAGTTTGCGGTTGCCTGCAGCTCATGTGATTCCACGCTGGTGTATTACCTCGAGAGTTTCTGGAAACAGACGCCTTTTGGTGGCTTTCGAACTCTCAGCTTTCATAGTGCCAACATGAAGATGTTGAATGAGCCGATCGTATTCCTCGTCGATATTAACAACAACATATATACAACAATATATACAACAATGGTATCTTCCCAACAGCCCATCAATGAGTTGAATAAGTCCCACTTCATAGTAGTTCTGGGACTTCGTTTTTGAATTTAGCGGCTTTTTCTCTTTTCTCCAAGAAATGGAATCTTGCACGAAGGAGGCGGTGGTCTGATCCCGTGTATAATTTACAGACAACAGCGAAATCGGTTAGGCAAAGCCTCCGGTGGTCTATTTGGTTATGGTACACTCTATTGAGACACTCTCAGGTCCAGCGTTGAGCGTGGAGCTGCTGGAATTGCGAGTTACGATGGATGATCTCGGTCGCCATGATAAACTCAGATAGCCGCTCACCCTGTTCATTCCATTCCAATCCGTGGGTCCCAATGTGACGTTCTTCTTGGTCCAACCCTGGCGTTGAAATCTCTAATGACCTTGAAGAATGTATGGTCTTCTCTGTAGAACTTCTCCAAGTCCATACAGAACGCTTCGACTTCTTCTTCGTCATAGTTTGATGTCGGCGCATATTCCACATCTTTCTAATCGTAAACGTCCGATTTGGGTTGTAACCTGTTCGAATGAATCGGTGTTCATGGACAAAATCGTGTTGGCGAGAACGCCGACGCCGTCTACTCCTCTTCTGTCGCATGTCCCGAGGAACAGTTCTTCTCCTGTGTCATAGACGGCATTGAATGGGTGACGTCTCATCTCGACCAGGCCGATGACATCATATCTTATTCTTCATGCTTGCCTGAGCAAGTCTTCTATCGAGGACTCGGATGCAAGTGAACGTTCATTGTAGACACAGTTCGTCACCATAGTTCTTCCAGGCAACTTCCTTTGGCCCTGAGATTTTAGCAGCTCCTCCGTACTCGTCCTATCCAACGCTGCGAAATTGCGGGTTCTTTCGGGGTCAGAGTTATAGGAATAAGGCCGGTTTTTTTTTCACTGTTTTTAGCATTTTGATACCCACGTATAGCTCGCTGGGCTCTGAACGTGGGGCTGGATGTACTCACGGGTAGCTTGCCGGGCTTTCCCTGAGTGGACATGGAGCTTCTTTGTTAGAGGCGACTCCTAACCGCTTCCCATATTCCTGCCTGTTACTTGATTGCAGGCTTTTAGCCGAATTGACTCGTAGAATACAATCCTCATAAGCGAGAACGCACCCACACACGCATACATGAATACGCCTAGCAAGTACAGAAAGTGTGTGTCAAATCGGCGCAGCAGAAACAGGGAGTCCATCCCCTGGATCCACCCGATCTTAGGGAAGTAAAGGTCGGGTCCGCGATTAACCTCCTATCCTCCACCTGGGGTCGTACCACATAGCCTCGCGACTAACCGGCTCGGGATTCCTGATATGGGTGAGATCCGTGCTCAACGGACATACTTGCTACTAATATCGGCCTGGAATAGTAGATGGACGTTTATCTTAAATCAAAAAATACTTATTTACTTGGTACTTGAATGGCCCATCCTCACTAGTTGTGTGGGTGTCAGCATAATCTCCATTTTTCGGAAATTTGCTGGTTAAACCACTATGGTTCCCTGGAATGCCGAGGTTAGCGTGGCCAAAGTCTGCCCCAGGTTTTCACCACCACAGGCCATCATAACCCTTGTGGATCAGAGTGAGATTTGCCACCATGCGACTTTGATACCAGGACGGTGGTGGATCCTGGTATTGGTTTACTCTTAGCTAGGCTTCCTCATAGAAACGCCGGATTTGAGTCCAAAATTATTCTTCCCAGTAACTGTTGATAATTCTTTTTGAAAACTAAAGAATGTGAACATTTAAGAACTCGGTTCCTCTATCTATTAAAAAGTAAAACTAATCCTAAAAAAATATGATTTTTAAAGCTGTACAGTGACAAAAATTTGCAAGAATTCGAAAGCGAGATTTGGTTTTCCTTTAAATTTCTGACTTAAGCCCGTTAGATGTAAACATGGACGGCTTTCGAATTCGAGGGCATCATAGCGCTTTACTGAACGAAATTCCATCTGATCAATCATTTCAGTGTTTAGAATATGAGCCTAAACTAAAAAAGCAACAGAAAGACGATTGTGTGCTCTACATGATCTGAATTTCATCCTGGTAAAATAAGAGAATGTGCATCTCGCACGATTGGATATCAATTCACATCGGCTTCTGGTTGTTAAAGAATAGCTTGTACTGTATTAGTTCATTCTTCACTGGAAAATATAATTCTCGATTTATGGCAAACACTTAAACCACTGTAGAAGAGATCTATTCCATACTAAATAAATGGTTTACATATCTCGAACACTCTGTTAACCACAAGTAAAAAAATGAGTTCTAATGATAATGGCGGTATTCCTGAAATACTACATCGTATTATTAGGAAATACTTCAGGAAATTCTCCGGAAGGTATCGCTCGCCTTTATATCATCGCAAAACAAATGGCTGCCGAAGCTGAGAAAGGTCAAATGCCAACGGCAAGCGATGGAAGCGGTCTAAAGGTCATCACAGCTGGTGGTAGCGAACTTCCACCAGTTGTAGATGAAACGACTCGACCACCATTTAACGATACTACACAATTTAACGGTATTGATGTTAGCGAAGTAATGGAATTACGTATTGTAAAACCACTCTGTAATTCTTAGTTGTTGACTTTCGTCTATTCTTTTTGTATTTTTGTGTGGAAAATTGAGAACACTTGTAGAGCTCCTTCATAACAGATAAATTAAACAGAAGACTAGATGAAATATTTATTTCCTAGCTTCCCGTTCGATGTAGTAATTCAAAGTTTTCCATACAAAAATCTCAACGTATACTTTTTATAATGACAGTTTCACTATTAGTGAATCCGACCAGCTAGCTTATGTTAGCAGAATATGTGTAAAATCGTAAGCTCGTTCAGTTAATTGCCTTTACCATGTCACCGAGATAATGAAAGTGATATGACTGCGTTCCTTTGCAATCACATCGGTTGCCTAAAAATCTGATCAACCGCACAGTGGATGCCTTCTAATCGAAAAAAAGTATCCAAAGATTTTTCAACTGGAAATTCTATTAATAAATAAATACCTATTCAACTACTGTGCCGCATGAAATTGTTCTGATAATGTAATACAATAGTAATCTAAGGATAATCTTAGCCATAAGACGAACATCAATCACTCCTATAAATACGGAACGAGAAACAAAATGCCTTGGGCGATTGCAACTGCTGTCTAAAACATGCACATTTTAGCGGAAACGAAAAATGAATATGCAAAACAAAAAGTAGGTACCTACAAAAACCGGAAACACTAAGAAATCATGACCACAACTTACATGATTAAAGGAAAAAGACTCGAAAATAAGGGTACTGTAGCATGCTTGCACACAATGAAAGGATACTGTATATTACTGGGAACGCGGACGAGATTGCTTGGGAACACCGTGAACAACTATAGAAATTTTTCATAAAAAGAGAAAACAAAAAAAGAACCGGACCTTCAAATGTTAAACCGTGTGTAGATAACCGAATCGTAATGCCAACATTTTGACGTCTAAATGACTTAAAAACAAAAGAAAACGATCGATTCATAGTTAGAATCGATTAAACCGAAGAAAACTAAAGCGGAAGGAAAATAGGCATAACATTAATAACACAGAAAGAGGCTCTAGTGTAAACCGTTAAGTAGGCCAATTGTAGCCCCTTGATTCAAATAACTGGATGCCGGAAAATGATAGCTATGGGAAGAGGTGCTCATCTGATTTTGACTCAACGCCAGTAGAGAAGACACCGCACTGGTTGCACTGGAAGATGTCATGTGACTCAATGTGAGTAGACCGAATTGCTCACTGGTGGTTGGCAGTGGCTGCTCGATCAGATCCGGGCGTAGATCTGATTGCGACAGCTAAAAATTTAAGAAACAATGCTCCAAATAGAAAATGTGAAGATTTTGTTATCATGAAGAAAATTGTAAATTCATTAATCTATTACCCGGTATTTAGATAACCTGGTTCATCTCATTCATTTCATGTGTTTTGTTCCTTATAAAATCAGATAGTAACCGTATTTCCTCTGCACAATGACTTGTCTTAGTTATACAGATACTTACTTGAACACTTGGATGACGTGCGTTCAGGAATTATGCAGACCCCAACACATTTTCCATTTGTTTCTTTGCCCCGCAATCGTCGTCCATGGTGGTGATCTGCTTCCAAAATTGTGACTACCTCGAGACCCAATCCGAATTTCTAAAAGCGTTTCCACCTGCGAATGAAAATGGCTGAAGTTAGCCGCGAACACGCCTACGTATTGTTTGAGTGGTCATTCAAGAGGATGCTTGCATTCTCATGGAAACCACTCCACAGTTCTTTTTGTCCCTCTGTCGTCTATTCTTGTCATTATGCGACCGGCCCATCCTTGTTTCGCTATCGATGTTTGTTCTCCTGGGTCTCGAAAATTGACAGATTTCTAAGATCAGAGCTTCGCATTCTGCCTGGTTACTATGTGTGCTTGCTGTATTTCAATAAAATGTCGTCCACGTACCCTGTGAATAGTGCGCAGTATTCTCGACGTGGTTGAAGTATCGACCCACGTATCCGCTGCATGAAAGAGTGTTGGGAGGACTGTCAAATCGAAAAGCCGAACGCGGATTTTCGGGTTATTTGGTTGGTCGGTGGCTTCTTTGAGTGGTACGAACGCGGTGCATGGTGCTCTCCATTCTGTCCTTCATATTGTTCTACATGTTCACTGATCGCCCAAAGTATACGTACAAGGTGGTCTCTGCAATCAGGGAGCCATCCAGTTCAATTTTTTCGTCTTGGCACTATGGGTTTTTCATGAACTGGGTCTTCTTCCGATTTATGCTCAGTCCGATCGTCTTTACCGCTTCGTTGAGCTCGTTGATCATTGTCTCTCCTTCATTAATAGTTCTTGAGAAGACGAAGTTGTCGGCGAAACGAAGATTTAATAAGAATTTTCCATCAGTACGTATGCCTTTCTCATCCTAACCTAGTGACTTAGTTGTCCACTGCAGTGCGGATGTAAACAGCTTCGGCGATATTGTGAGGCCCTGTCGAACCCAGTTTCCTACGGGTATACAAAGGGGCAGTGAAAAAAGCTCTATGTTTGTACTAAAATTCCATTAACAGTCTGCAATTGTTCGTATATAAGATGGGTTCACTCCATGGTGAGCACGCGCCGATAGGAACTACATTCGTTTCGACGTTGTCGAACGCCTTCTCGTAGTCAATAATGGTTAGGACAAGGTGCAGATGGGATGGTAGGTACTCCTGACAGACTTCTATGACCCTTGAGATGCTTTGGATGCCATCCATGATGCACAATCCTTGCCAAAATCCTGCTTGCTGGACGGTAGTGCATCACCTAAGGTCTTCGAAATGCGCAAAAAGATAATCACTGAGAACAGTGGACGGCAGTTACGAAGACTCCTTCAGTCACCCTTCCTGGGCAGGATAGTTGTGTGCGAGATTCTTCACTTGCTTGGGATGTTCTCTTTCTTAAGGTAAGAAAGACATATAGGCTGCGAAAAGAACATGTAAACTGTGGCTTCCAGCTTAAAACCAGAACTCTGCAGTGATATAATCGGGTCTTGGACTTGTATCTTTTTTTTTACTGCAAGTGGGACAGCAGAAGGAAGAATTCCAGGTGGTTCTTCTCCAGCGGCGATTTCAAAGCCGGAAACGGCGACTATGGAACGGAGGTTGATGTAGAACTTTTGCGTTATCAATTGCATCATGGTGGGAAGCTTTGGTGATCCTATCCTCGTTCATCACGCCTGACAATGGAACGTTATGATCGTACAAGTTTCAACACCATTTATTCAGACTCGTTCTTTTTTCTGCTTCTTCTAAAAATTTCTTCTACCTGCACCGATGTAGACCTTCCTGTAGTACTCTTCTACATATGGTGTTTATTGCTAACAGTGTTAATTATGCTGCATTAGAATCAAGCTTCAGCTTCATTCTCTTCTCGAGCAACTTCTTAATGGCAATGGAGACACAATGTGACCTTCTTGCTTCAGGAACTGAAGCGAATTCGACACAACTTCCAAGCCCTTCGACAGGCGGCTCCTAGTCCTGGGTCAAGTTTACCTTAATCTGTTAATGACGTTTGTATAGGATTTCGTGCAGAATGTTCTCGCCGTATACAGCTGAACTCTTTCTTTTTCGTCTTCTTGGGTACGATGAATTCCTTAACAACTCAAGACTGAATCGAATCTTCATTGAACGTGGTGGTCGGACCTGGCACAGAATGATAGGACTACCGATGTTTCAACTAGGCACCATCCTCTGTTTACGAAGATATGCTCGATCTTCGTATGAGCCGTGACGTTAAGAAACTTGCATATCCAGCAACAGCTTTCTTTCTTCTGGAAAAAATGAGCTTCCAAAGAACATGCTGCAGTGAGGAGTCCTGCGAGACGGTTCCTTTCTCTCCCTTGACCTAAATTTTCCGGTCTTGTATTCGCTCTAAAAGAAACTTGTAAGCTAATTCGTACTTATCAGATGCACCGGTCGGATAGAGATCTTCTTACTTACTATTCGTTACTGAAGGCGGAGGACGGCCTTGCCAGAGGAAAGGATCTCGTACGAGTCAGCGACATGAACAATGGACGGCTGCGCAGAAAAGCCTACGCTATCGACATCTCGTAACGGTACTTCTCTACGGATGAAAATCTTGCTCTTTGTTTCTTGTAAGGCATGGAATTCTATGCGATCTGCGAAAAAGGACGTGAAGACCATTGTCTCAAGAGAGTGTTCTGGTATTATATTTGCAGAGTAATAAACAATCTGTATAACATGTCGTGCGTGTGTTCATCACATCCGGTTCCAATGACGTGCTGCGTAATCCGAGATTTTGTGTTTTCTCACCGGTCGTCTCAACGCCTGACAGACGGAAGTACCCAGTTTGTGGGGTACTGAGGCTAGCCTATTGCTGGTTGTACAACTTGACCTTCCCTGGAGTCTTCACTTAACCTTTAAAGGGCATTTTCAGGTCTGCACCACGACGTGAATTCGAGGGAGTGATTTCGGCAACGATTCCTTCGTTTGGTCTTCTCCTACGATTGACCGCTCGAAGACGATGCAGAAACCAAAATTTCTGTAGATTCTATTAGTCCTATTAACAATTAGGACTGTCACTATTCTGTTTGACAACTGTCATTACGCAGAGTCTAAGGCTAAATGACGCGTTTTTCTTCATAAGCTAAGACTCGGCTTAAAACTGTCGAAATTACGAACGGACTTGACGATATCGAGGACATCCTTGGCAACAAGTTTATAACTTTAGAACTGGAATAAGCTGCTTATTCTAGAATGAGGAAAAGGAAAAGGAAAGAAAAAAGCCTTTCACCTCATTCCTTATCATCTCGTCTCGTTCTTGATCACGATGTGTCTTCGACTGCTCCGTTGACGATGGAGTTTGTTGAGTGCGCTGCGTAGCGGCCTGGATCGTTGTGGTTATCGTATTCGAATGTGTAGCTTCATGCCCAAGCTGTTGTGAGCGTTGACGAAATGCACGACCACAAAACTGGCACGTAAATGGTTTCGTCCCTTAAAAAAGAATCATTGCTATATTTAAAATAAGATATGATTTCCTGGTAAAACAATAGATGGAAAAGAATAATCAATAGGAAAGGGATGCTCAAAACAAAGTTGCGTCACATCGCAAGACATTCTGTGGGAGAATATTGAAGAAAGATCTAAAAAAGCGTTGCAGACATTTTTAAGTGAACATTATTGTTCTTTCATGGAGTGAAATAGTTCCTTACTATTTTAATTACTATCAGATTAAGTACCTAAACACCTACATAGTCTGCTCTCACACGTCGTGCGGGTTCTACATCTTCATTTACTTTGTTGCGCTACAATCACCACTTAACGTGATTTTGCGAGTCCGTTGTGCGTTCAGTTCGGAGGATCTGCTATCTTCTCACCTTAGCGACATGATGTGCGCTGGTCGAAAATGCTCTGCTCTTCCAGAATCTCAGGATTGCCCCACTAAAGCGCTCCTTGTCCTCATCAAAAGCAGGTGACAGTCATTTTTACGTCTTATTTACCTTACAAGGAGGTTTTTTCACTTCAACTAGAATTCTGACAGAAAAGCTGAGAAATTCGCGATACTGGCGGTTCCTGTGATTAACTGACTAAACGATAGTATAAAATACTATAGACCAAGCCTATTCCCAAATTTCAAAAGGAATTTATATGGTTCAATATACGGTAAAAATAATTTGGAAAAAAGATGAAAAGCATCAGAAAAGAAAACACCCGAACCACTTACCAGTGTGGATACGCTCATGCTGGTCAACGTGGCTCTTCTGTGTGAACCGTTTCGAGCAAAAATGACATGCATAGGGTCGATCGTTTGAATGAATACGCAGGTGCTGCTGCAGTCCACCTCTAGCCTGTAAATTTACAACAGTTTCGCAATATGATACGTCACCACAATAATCATGAAGAATGTGTTATACAAACGGCTAACCTTAAACCGTTTCCCACACTGTGCACACTCATGTCCGCGCATCATGCGACAATCTGTCATATGGGTGTGTAGCTGAACATTGACATTTAAGAAGGACGTTCGATAAAACCAATTCATGCTTGCTATATAATTCACATACCGCATTTCGATCTGCCCATTTCTTCGGACAAAACTGACATTTCAGCAAGCCGTCATGACTAGAACGTGATCGTCGTACTGGGGCCGGAGTACTCGAACCTGATGTAGTGCTCATTGCACCACTCGCTGCGCTCCCATCCGAACACCGTCCGCTATAGTCAGTACCTAAATAGAGAGAAGAAGGGCTCATAAATCATCTACCCAATCAATGGCCACCCAATTACATCACTACAACATTTAAAAAACCAAACACATAACTGATGTAACCATGACTGATGTGACATTCAATTTTTGAATTCTTTCCAACTACATCGGTTATTGAGAGGACGCATACTGGTAGTAATGCCGATCACCACAAAAACGGTGATAACACAATCGAGCTCCAGACTCGCCAAGCGTCTCATCCCTGTAGTTAGGAAACTGGTATTGGACTTGTTTGGGAAAAGTTCATTCCCTGCAAATCCAGTGGAAACGCTCTAGGCCAACATTCTCGGGACTAATTGGAGAGTCAACTCAACCTGTACTCAATGACAATAATTATGAAAGGAAAACGCTCAAGCAAAAACCAAAGTTACATGTAAAAAAAATGGAACAGCCTTGTGGTGAGGTGATGGATGGAGGAAACAATTCGAATGTGAGAAGTGCTGAGATCCGCACGCGTTAAAGATGGGTCGTGTAAAAGAAAATATTGGTTAGCATCCTATTCTGGAACCTATGGAAGAGCATAAAAGAATCATAAGAAGTCAAAAAACCTCTTAAGAAAGACCATGGCAGTGAAGAGGAATAAAATTAAGCTCAGAAAACTGTATAGTCAGTTGTGAGTACTGTAGTAAATAACCTATATGCAACGACATTGGTTGCAATGGCATTTGGTGGGTAGCGGCCGAACCATTGGAAGTAGGTGTAAAATCGACATCTGATGGCTCTGGCTTCAGCGCATGGTTCAGAACTGAAGCCACACTGGAGTTGAAAGTCGCATCTATAAAAATACAACATAATTCACATATAGAAAATGATAACCGACACATGATTCTGCTTTCTGTGCTAGTTCTTAGTAATCTGACTATATTTAGTGTCTAGAAGTCCGGCTTCTAGATCGTCTTTGAGCGGTCAGTTATTTCCTTATTCATAATTTCATTTTTGATTTAGATGTCAATATCATGTCCTAATCTACTAGTAGGAGAAGACCAAACGAAGCAATCGTTGTCAAAGACATACTCCCTCGGATGCACATCGTGGTGAGGACCTGAAAACGCCCTTTCAAGGTCAAGTCAGGAATTCAGGAAAGATCAAATTGCTCAACCAGCAACAGGCCAACCTCAGTTCTCCGCAAACTGGGTGCTCCCGTCTGACATCATCTCGGGCCACACTGGACGTCACTGGGACCGGATCTGACGAATACACGTATGACACACATAGAGATTGTTTCTTACTCCACAAGTATAACACCGGAATACTCCTGAGACAACGATTTTCACGTCCTACTTAGGATCACAAATAGCATCGAATCCCATGCCTTACAGGAAACAAAAAGTAAGATAAGTGGCATACGCCGAATAAACCGCGTGGCGCTTGCCATCCACGGAGAAAAGGTCCCGTTACAAACGTTAGCATAGGCTCTGCCGACATGCCGTCCATTGTCCATATGACCCACTCGTCTAAAGCACGAGATCGTCTTCCCTGGGATGACGGTCGTCCGCCTTCAGTAAACGCTTCATAGGAAGATCACTATCCGACCGATATAAATGACGAGTACGAACTGGATGCATTTTACTATCAGCTGGAAGAAGTTATAAGCAACAGAATAGGAAAGGCTAACGAATACAGGATCGGAAATTTTTGATTAGGTGAAAGAAATGAGAATGGAAACCGTTTTGGACGACTCCTCTTGTCAGCACACCTTTTCCGTGGAAACTCATTTTTCTATAAGAAAGTCGCCACTGGACACGGGAATCTCCTAAAAGCGCGTCTCATGCGGAGATCTACCATACTCTGACAAACAGATGATGGTGTCTACTTGACACATCGGTAGTCATATCACTTTGTACTGGGACCGACCACCGCCTTCTTCGAGTAAAGAATCGATTCAGCCGTAAGCTGGGGAAGAATTTAAGTCATCAAATAAGAAGAAAAAACCCAGCTGTATGTGACGAGAACATTCTGAACGAAATTCTAACCAATCGTGACTGGAAGATTAGAACATTAGATTAGGAAGACCCGATCGAAGACCATAAGCAGTTTGTCGAAGGACTTAAAACATACTAAACTCGTCTCACTTCATCAAACAAGAAGATCAGATCTCCATTGCCACTAAGGAGTTGCTCCAGAAGAGAAGGAAACTGAAGCTTCCTCCTAGTTCAACACGCTTAACACGAATAGTGATAACTGCCAGTTCCAGAACAGCTCTACAGAAAGATCTACACCAGCACAGGTGGAGGAAAATATTGGAAGCAGCACAAAAACAATTGAAAAAGTCCTATCGAAACTTGTCCGAATACAATGTTCCGCTGACAGCCATGATAAACAAAGATGGGATCACCAAAACATTTCATGATTATATGAAATTGATAAAGAAAAAAATTTCCACCGACGTTTTCCGCTCCATAACCACCGTCTCGGACCCTGAAATCCCAGTTTAAAAAAACCACCTGGAATCTCTCCCATTGAAATTCGAGTTGTGATAGAAAACATGAAAAAAAGCATATTTTCACGACCAGATAGCACAGTCGCCAACTTACTGCGAACTAGAAGCCACAAACAACATGTACATCCTGCCTAAGAAAGGCTACGAAAGAAATTTTCGTAATTAACGTCTGATACGCTTGTTTAATGCACTCTACAAGCCCTTCACGAAAATTACCCTCTCGGGCATATCAAGGACATTCGATGAGGCTCAACCAGTGAAGTAAGCAGGATTTCGACAAGAATTTTACTGCATGGATCACATCTATACTGTGTCCAGGGAATCAAAAGTTTGTCGGGAATATCACCTTTCACTAGTCATAACTTTTTCAACTATGAAAAAGCGTTTGAGTACGTCGAAACGAATAAAACTCTATCAGGGGTCGTCGAACAAGGAGTTGATCCACCCTATATAAGAGCTCTATTTCACTGTTAACGGAACTGTACTACAAAAATACAGCTTTCTCATCGACTTCTTACCATACCAATAAGCAAAGGTGCTCGATAAGGCAACAAAATATCGACAAACGTGTTTAGCGCCATAGTGCAGTGTATAATGAAGTCACTCGATTGGGATGGGAAAGGCATACGTGGTGATGGAAATTTCCTATCAAAACTTCGTTTCGCCGATAACATCCCGAGAAATGCCAAGGAAGCGGAGGCAATGATCAATGAATTCAACAAAGTGGGAAAAACAATCGGACTAGGTATAAATTGGAAGGAGATCCTGTTCATGGAAAATCCATGGCGCGAAGGCAAACAAGTCGAACTAAATGATTCTCTAACCATAGAAAACACCTCGTACGTGTACCTTGCGCACTCAACGAACATGTAGAACAATATGAAGGTGGAATTAGAAGAAGGAGAGCCTTTAGAAAACTCAAAGAAGTCACCATCTACTGAATCCAGAACTCCACGCTCATTTTTTCGATTCAATATCTGAAATATAACTGGGCAAACACAACGCCTAATCGAAAAGTGATGCACTTATCTCAGTAAGCTATCGCATCCTCGAGATAGAGGCGAACATATATGTATAGCGAAACCGATGAGGCGGTCATATAATGAAACGAAGAGAAAACCGATGGAACAAACGAACTGCTGAGTGGACTCCACTACGGTGCAGGCGTGCCCTAGGACGGCCACGTACACGTTGAGAGGACGTGTTCGCCACTGAAGTCAATCAGCTGTACCCGCGGGTGGAGTTGTTTTACAGAGCACGGTATGAGACTCGCACATGACACCATGTTCGAAGTAGACCACCACCATTGACGACGATTGCGAGGAGAACAAATGAATGGGAAATGTTCAAGAGTCCGCACACATCATGAAAACGAGCCGTACTGGTGTCCAATCAAGTATTAACCACCTAGTTGTTCTAAGTTCTTGACTTTAATCTTATATTACCTAGCCTTTGAGGAAAAACAACTATGGTTGACCGCTTTCACTGAAAAGTAATCCATGAATAAACGTAGAAGATCAAAATGTTAACGATTTTCTAAAACGTTTTTGAACTTCACTGAACAGAAAATTATGGATGAGCGGGCGATGTAAGCGGAAATCCTACACTTTAATTTAACTAAAAAAAGTATGAAATTATGACTATAAGAAAAATGTTGCAACATTAGGGACTTACACTGTTTTGATAAATTCTAAAAACTGAAAAAAAAACCAAGAAGAAAGACCAACAGAAGAAAATTCCAGATTAAGCAAACGAAATATGCAAAAAATCAAAAATGGAGTAGAAGACAAAATAAAAATTAAATTTTTGAAGGCGACAAACCAGAAAACCCATTCGTTATCGCAACTCTGGCCAAATGCAAGTTATCTGCTCTACTTTCATTAAATCGTATAGGATCGATACAGAACACCTTCTAAAGTAGTTTTCTATCTGATTATTACGATCAAAGGATCGCCAGAAGTAGCAGCACATTCAAATGGGAATTTCGTCTACACGCGAAAAAAAACTCGTCCCAAAGCATTTCCTAAAATTCAAACACATTCGCGATAACACGTAGTTTCTCTTTTTACCAAAGACGATTATTCCGCTATCAATAAAATGTTGAAGCAGTTGAGAACTTTATGAAGTCATAAGCCTTAAGGACGCATGTAAAAAAAGGATAAAGATCATGGTGTTGATCAATCCCTGAAAGCCATGAATTCAACTTCTCTAAGCATCGTTGGAGGTAAGTAAATGCATATTTGGCCTTTACAATAACTCGCGGTGGCTTAGGCCAGTGCTACTACTCCTCCAGACAAATTTGGTGCCAATTTGCCGACCCAGAAGTAAAGGAAGGCTTGCTGACCCTGGTGCACGGAGATCGATCCCATGTATATCGTAGGGCGTCTCCCATCAGTGCACTACAGCCTAAGGGCGCATACACAGATATATATAATATATATGCTTACTTGGATGGTCCGTCTTCACTGATTGTGCGGAGCCTAGCACAATTTCCATTTTTTTTAGAATTTTTCTGGTCCAGCCATTGTGATACATTGTGATATATA